CAGAAAGCAACAGAGTCAATGAATCTGGTGTAGGCCCATCACACCCAGCCTGAGACATGGTCTCCCTTCAGGAGGCTGTGAACACTATGGACAGAGAGGAGGGCCAGGGCTGTGGGGCCTGGCAACACCTGTTCGGTAAGAACAGAACCTGGTTCCTGAAGAATCTGTCAAGCCAGCAGGGCCTCTCAAATAAATAATCAAGTGCATAGAATTAAAGGAAAGTGGCACCACAGACAGAGCTGCTGAAAGATCTGAGGGTACAATAGCCACAGGTGACTTTAACAGAAAAAAAAAAAACCACATACACACACACATAATTACTATCTTTAAAGAAACATGGGAGGACCCCATACCCATGAAGAGCAAACAATTATGAAAAATAAATCAGAGATCATCTAAACAAAAAATAAGTTCGTGAAATCTAAAGAAAAAAAGAAATCTGACATACAGTAGTACACACACATAGTATGGTGCCATTTGCATACGAAATAAATGTGCAAAGTATCTTGACCTACGGATGCACACGTGAGTGATAAAACTATGAAGAAAAGCAAGAAAATTATCTCCTTATAATTCAGTACATTGACCTAATCTGGAGAGAGGGGCCAACCACTATGTACCATGGCAAAGGGCTTATGTGATGTGAAAGCTTCTTCCAAGACTTGGCATGGTTGTTGCTACACAATGTTTATTCCAGAATGCTTCAGTTGACTATGCAATTGTCTTATGAAAGTTCTATATGTATGCTAGCCTACAATAAAATGCTATAAACTCATCTAATAAAATTTGTCGAAATACCACATCAAAGGAAAAACTATCAAATCATCTCAATACATGCCCCAAACAAGCAGTTAATCCTATTCAACATTCATCCATATCCAAGAATCTTAGCAGTATCAGAATAGGTGGACATCTGCATTGAAAAGCAATGTTCATCAAAGAACGCACAAATGGTACAAAGTGCGACAGTTTCCCACTTCACATGCTACACCTTCTTGAAGCCAAAGTCCCTTAAACTCCAGGTCTGAATAAGAATGCAACAGAATCACTACTTCCAGCCTGTGTTCAAGGAATAAAAGACTTTTTTACGTTCTTTTTTAAATTTTACAACCCCTTCCAAATGAGATAAAAGGCTCTTTATCCCACTAAGGTCCTGAGCAGAAAACAGGTATCAGTTAACACCTATGCTCATGATAAAAAAAATTGTCTATAAATCAACTAATCAGAATTGACACTGCTCAGTAGTACAGGTTACACTTTATAGAATGTGCATGAATCTACGATGACCAGATACTAACAGGAAATGGAACAGGATCACACATTGTCACAAACGCTGCACCCTGCATCAGTCATTATTGTTTTCACGAATCTTTTCAATCCATGTCTTCACCTTTCTGAATTTGAGCCATTTTTCCATGGCAGCATTCTGAGGCTAAGCCCCGGAATAACACAAGGCAGCAGCAAAAGGCGAGGAACACACCTGAGAAACCTATTACCCTCATTAAGGACAAGAAAAAGGTAAAAAGAATTCATTATTTTACATTTACTGAAACCTGAGGCTGGACACAGACATGGCTGGTCACAGCTGTCAGGTGACAAGATCGACTTTTATTTGAGCCCTGTCCTCCTGGAAAACAGCAAAGGTTAAAGGAATTCCCCCACCCTGCTGTGTTCCGGAATGGGACCCTGCAAGGACCCACCCTTCCCATATAACTTAGGTAAGACTCATACAGTTGACAAAGCCAGACCCAGACCCTCCAAATTCCCACTCTTCGTCTCAGAAATGATTAGGTGACCTGATTGTCCCCACTGATCCATTGGAACAAACTGTCTTACAGTCACGCTCTGGGTTAAGCTTCCCTCCTTCCTCCAGGCCCCTGCATGTCCCCACCCTGAGCCAGGTGGCAGCCCTGCTGAAAACAAGCAGGCATGGGGGTGAAACATTCTCGGATCTAGTATCCCATTGTGCCAGCCTTCCATTCCATCTCCCCACAGTTGGTTCTTTCTACCGTTATTCACTCCCCTCCATAAAAGAAAAACTATTTTTACCCAGCTCTTCGGATGCTTGCAGACCCGGTCAGAGTGTTCTGTTGAAGCTGTCTCCCTGCCACTACAGCATCAGTCCCCCAGCCCAGTATCACCTGTCCCCACGCCTCTCTTGCATTTCCCCTCTGCCCTATAGCAACAGTCCCCAACCCTATTGCATTACCGCTCGAGACTGTCGCTTGTCCCTGTGTAAACAGCCTTTCTGATAAAGTTCCCCGTCCCCCCCCCGCCCCCGTCCAGCCCGGATCTGATTTTATCTGACGGGCTCCAGGGCGGGTCCCACTCCGCTCCCGCCCGGCCCAGCCAGGTGACCGCGTCGCCTGCGGGCTCAGCGCCTGTCCCCTCGCGCCGCCCTCCCGGGGCCGTCCCCGCGCTCCCTCGGCCCCACCCCATCCCCGGCCGGGCAACCGGCCCCGCGCACTCACCATGTCCCTCCCGCTCCTGGGAGCGCCGGAGAAGCTCCGCGGCCTGTGAGGGTGAGCGCGCGGGGACACCTGGGCCGTCCGCTGCAGGCGGGGCGCGCGCGGCCGCGGGCACACCTACGGCCCGCCCTCGGAGCCTCATTGGACAGAGCTAGAGGCCGTGCAGCCCTGATTGGAAGGTGCTGCCGACGTCAGCTCCCTTGATTGGACAGCTACCCAGTCGCGCGTACCCCTAGCTCCCCTGATTGGGCAGTTCCGCCGGCCCATTGCGCCTGATTGTTCCCTGGGCACCGCCCCTGTCTTCCCTGATTGGATAGTTCCCTAGGACCCGCCCCCTCTAGCCTGAATGACAAGCGCGTCGCGAACACTCGTAGCGGGCCCCGCCCACCCGGGGGACCTTCACATCTAGGCGAACTCGGTCTGGCCCCGGGCAGCCCCTCCCCGACGAAGGCGGGAACTCCAGACTCAGTTTCCCCATCCAGCGTCCTTGTCCGGGGCAGGAGGAGCCAGGGCGGGACGGGGCGGCCTGGGGTTCTGTGGGGTCCCCGGGTCTGTGCTCCGCGTCTCAGAGAAGGAGTCTTGCTCTGTTGCCTCAGCTAGAGTCAGTGCAGTGGTATCCTCATAGCTCACTAAGCTCACTGCAGCCTCAAACTTCTGGCCTCAGCGATCCTCCTACCTCAGCCTCCTCAGTATCTGGGACTACAGACAGGCACCAGCTCATTTTTCTATTTTTCTGTAGAGATGGATGGGATCTCCCTCTGTTGCCCCAACTGGTTTAAAAGTCCTGGCTTCTAAGCGATCCCCCTGCCTGCCTGGGCCTCCTAAAGTGCTGGGATTACAGGTGCAAGTCACCGTGTCCGGCCAGGACCCAGCTTTGACAGTGCAGTACGAGCATGATTTAGAAGTTACTCAGACAACTGCTCTCCCAGATAAGGATGATGGCCTGTGAGGACGAAGCTAGAGCCCAGTATCAGAAGTCCCAGTTTCACAGGCAGCTGTCCTGTGATGTCAGCAGTGCGGTGTGTGTGCCACTTTGTTACCCAGCTCAGCAGAACATATGCTTCATCTGGGGGATGTGGAAGGAGATAAAGGGCCTTGATCAGTAAATGCAGCAGCTAAATAAAAACAAAACAAAAACACCCTCATTGTTTGGACCTGCATATTTAGCTGTTTTAGAACACAGTGGTTTCCTCCTTGAGTTTCAAATACAAGACTGCTACAGTCACATCACTATATTCAGTGGTGAAATCTTATTGCCATCATTCTCATTCCTTTTTATTTACAATCAGAATAAAACTATTTCAAATAAAATTTTAAAACCACATAAAACGTCACACACACATAAAAAAACCCCTACATAAACATGGACTAGAAGGTTACATGTCAAATTAGAAAAAGTGGCTACCTCTGGGCAGGGAGGGTGAGAAATAGCTGTTAGTGTTTTACAAGTATGTGCAGCAAATATGACTAAATGTTTAAATTTGTGTATTACTTCTATATTTTGTATTATTCCATTAAAAAGCAAATTGGGAAGTGGTTTAACTGCCTTGTTGAGATTAAGGAATTAACTGGGATTGGAAAGTCATTCCTCCATGCAAATTCACAAATAACACAATAATAATGTCAGTTATCTAATGAACACCAACCTACTCTATGCCGTGTACAGGGTTTCTCAAAGCCTTGGATAATTCTAGCTGGTGGGAAGCCAACCTGTTCATTGTGGGGTGTTGAGCAACATCCGTGATCTCCATGCCCACTAGATGCCAGTGGCAAGAACCAAAAACGTCTACGGACATTGTCACTGCTCTAGACCCTTTATTTGATATTAGAGAGTCTTTTCTCCAAAGCCCACGGTCATAACCAGTCATAACCGCTGTAACTCTGCCGTCTGCCCTTCAGGGCTCTAAGATGTTTATATGAGGATGATGGTTGCGGTGCTGAGTTCACAATAGTAATCAACTCACTACTTGACAAATGCAGGTTAAGTTACGTACTTTCCTTTTACAACTGTGGAAACTGAGGCACTAAGAGACTTAAACAACTTCCCCAGTAACACCCGAGAGCTGATTAAGGTTTGGGGCCAGGACTGGAACCCAAGGCTGGTGCCCAGCTGAGCAGACAGCCTCCGTGCCCAAGATATGAGCGAGACAGTAAAAATCAGCTGCGAATGAGAAGTATCTGCCTGGATATGCATCAGGCTGGGAAGATAGACTCAGGTGATGCCACCTGTAAAATTAACAAAAACCAGTATTTCCTCCAAGGACACCTTCGTCTCAGCTATCCCTGTCTTCTAACTCGCTAAAAACTCCGCCCAGGAAAATCAGAACCTGTGCCTGAAATTTTATCAGTTAAGAATGAAACTTCTCTCCCTTGCCTGGAGGATCTGATTCCCTCGGACACAGAGGGGTCCGTCTCCATTTCCAACACAGATGCAGGGTTCAGATAAGGGAGTTTCCGGACACAACAATGAACGGCTATCTTATCTTGTGGTTCTCAAGGAAACGGGAATTGGGTCCACTTAGCAGTCCAGACCCGCGGCTGACCCCTTTACACATAGCCCTGACTTGCTCTGAGCCAATGGAAACCACGCAGCATTCAAATTTCACCTAAACCCTACCAAATCCTACGGTGGGAACCGCCGCAGGTCCTAAAGTCTAGGGGGCCAAAACGCCCCGCGCCCCCAAAAAAGACCCCGAGGCCTCCCCCGGTTCCACCGGCCTCCGGAGCCACCTTCCCGGGGAGCAGACCTGGAATCCCTCATTAGAACGAGCCCGCCCCCTGCCCTTTGAACTCCGCCCCTGTCCTTTGACCCACCCACCCCAGGACCGCCCTCCCCACGCTTAGTCCGGGTCACCGAAGAGACGCGGGGCCAGGTCCTGCGGTAGACAGCGGAGGAACCGCCCTCAGGAGGCGCTACGGCCAGTAAGGGCGACACCAGTCGCGGGCCACGAACCGGTACTTGTGCTTCCGCTTCCGGGTCTGCCAGGAGCGGAAAAGGGAGGCAGGCCCGAGGTTTAGGATTGGTGAAGCCTCAAAGATGGGCGGGGTGGGCTGCATTCTCCAATCGCTGAGCAGGAAGCAAGTAGTTCCCCCGCCCTCTGGGATGCGATTGGGCCTTGTGGCCGAATCCGCCCCACCCAGGGCGTGCCCGACGCGAGATTGGCGTTGTCGGCGTGGTCTGCACTGGGATCCACCCCGGGGCGTGACTACGGCGCGAACAGGCCCAGGGGAGAGGCTGGGGGCGTGGTCTCTCGCTGCAATCGCCAGATTACGCTGATACACAATAAATGCTAAAATAAGCAATACGTGCTCGATTCCTCCAGCCAGCACTGTCTTCGCGCTAGCACACTCCCATACGGAGATACTCCCATTGTTGGAATTTTTCTTCCTTGTGTGTCTTTTATTTATTCCAGAAATGGGATCGTGTTTTATGCATTTTTTTACACGTGGCTTTTCTAATGAATGCGTTGTGATATTCCGTCCCGGCCGCTAGATGACGCCCTAGCTCACATTTTCACATTTGGGCATATTTTGTTGCTGTGCCTTGGGTAGAACCAGGAAAGATTCGGGGGGTAGAAGTATTCGCCTTCCAACCTTGTCACTCGGTCCCCCAGAGACGAACGGTATTTGCCTTTATTTGCAGATAACTTTGCATAACCTTCCAAAGACGTACAGAAGCAAAAATGTGGGCTTCTCTCACGTCCTAGACTCTGTTCTTTGCACTAGGGGATACAGCAGTAAACAGAGCACAGAAATCCTAGTTCTTTTCCGTCTCAGATTGCAGTGGGGAGCGACAAGAAGTTAACCATGTTAATAAATACCGTGCATATTATAACATAGCCCAATGGTGTTTCGTGCTAAGAGGACTATACCCAGGTAAGGGAGAGAGGCGTGGCTATGAGCACCTGTGCTTTTGCTCAGTACCGCCCCCCAGGCTCTGCACACGGGGAGCCTCCAGCCTCCCCTAGTCCCCAGGTCCTCCCTTTCTGGGCTCCCAGCCCCAGGTTCTAGACACAATGCTCCTTGGTGCTGGAGAGCTGGCCTGGGGTGACAGAAGTGGGCCTGGGTCAGACCTGGCTGCGGGCAGCTCCTGGCTGAGCTGCCATCTCAGGCACCTGTAGAATCTCAGGTGTGCAATGGATGGCAGCTCAGGAAGAACTAGGACAGCCGGCTGGAACTGCCTTAAACTAGCAGGTTCAATTTAGGGAAAACCTGGCCAGGTGAGGCGGCTCACGCCTGTAATCCTAGCACTCTGGGCGGATGACTTGAGGTCAGGAGTTCAAGACCAGCCTGAGCAAGAGTGAGACCCCCCCCCCTGCCGTCTCGATAAAAAATAGAAAAATTTAGCTGGGCGTGGTGGTGCACACCTGTAGTCCCAGCTACTCCGCAGGCTGAGGCAGGAGGATTGTTTGAGGAGTTTGAGGTTGCAGTGAGCTATGATGACGCCACTGCACTCCAGCCCGGGCGACAGAGTTAGACCCTGTCTCAAAAAAAAACAAAAAAACCCAAAGACCAAGTATGTAGAAAACAAAAAAGCAAGCAACAACACAGAGAAAATACTTGTGAAATATATATCTATAGGCATCCCTTGGTATCTGCCTGTAGGTTACTTAAAATACCTAATATACCGTCAACGCTATCTAAATAGTGGTTATGCTATATTTTAAAAATTTGTGTTGTTTTGTTCTATTGTTATTTTTTATCTTTTCAAATATTTTCTATCCGTGGTCAATTGAATCCGAGGGTTTGGGATCGAAAACCGCGAATATGGAACCCGCGGACACAGAACCCGCGGATACCGAGGGCCAACTATATTGACCAAGGGATCGTACCCAGAATATAAAAACAATTCTTTCAACGGAGAAAAAGCATGACCACAAGAGGGCGCCTTTGACTGTCAAAACGGCTTAGTTTGCTGTTCTTTAGAAATACCCACAGAAGGCAAAGAATGCTACTTGCTCTTAGAGTTAAGGGAGGTAACTTACATAATTTATGTATATATATTCATATACACACAGAGAGGATAAAGCAAAATGGCAAAAAAAAACACTGGGAAAAGTGGAAGAAGGATGCAGAAGTTCTTGGTACTGTTCTTGCAACTAACTTTTCTGTAACTTGGAAGTTATATCAAGATAAAAAGTAATCCAAAAATAGTTTCCCAGTTTGGACAATAAAGCATATGTTAATAGATAGCCATGCAATGATCAAAGAATAATTTGCAAGATTTTAAGTGTTTGCAACGATTTTCTCTCATCCTTTTTCCTATGTTTCTGGTTTTGTTGCTGTATTTGCCAAAAATATAACTGGTAACATTTTTACCTTCAGGAATTTTAGAATCGTTTATGGTTGAAGAAAGGAGGGAGTTCCCAACAAAGCCACTTATCTGAATCACCCAGACACTTTTTTCTTTTTCTATTTAATCCTGAATTTTATTCCTTCTCAAATTTATTGCCGTGAAGCATCACACTTGGGCAATGACAGGAGAAATTCATTCATTTCACTCTAAACGATCACTGCTTGCAAACGGCAGCTGATGTCTGCGGTTATTTTCTTTCCGTAGCCTCTGTTGTTGGTGTTGCCATCACGACACTGCTTCCTTGTATTTCTATTAGCAGGTCTCTTTTCTCACTGAAATTTTTATTGAGATAATTGTAGAGTCACATGCAGCTCTAAGAAAATAATGCAGACAGATCCTTTCTGCACCGGGCCAAGATTCCTCCAATGGTAACATTTTGCAAAACTAAAGTGCAGTATCACATCCAGGCTATCTGTGTGTGTGTGTGTGTGTGTGTGTGTGTGTGTGTGTGTGAGAGAGAGAGAGAGAGAGAGAGAGAGAGAGAGATTGAGGAAAAGAGAGAGAAGTTCTATACAATTTTGTCACCTGGATAGTCTGTGTCATCTGCCACCACAGTCAAGATATGGGACATTGGCCACACCACAAGGATCTCTTGCGCGTCCCTCCTACAGTCACAGCTACCTCCCTCTGAGTGCTCCCATCACCCTGACTCATCAGGAAGCTTTTTGGAAAGACACTACTCCCTTGGGAATCCCCCGATCCCACTCCCCAATCTACTGACTGGAGGCTCCAGGTTGGGCTCAGAAATCTGTACATTTAAAAAGGTTTCCAGCTGATTCCAGGGCTGGGGCAGGATGGGTAGAAGAGCCCGGAACCCCAAGTGCAGTGGTGCACACCTGTAGTCCCAGTTACTCCAGAGGCTGAGTGGGGAGGATTGCTTGAGTTCAGGAGTTCGAGTCCAGCCTTGGCAACACGGTGAGATTCCATCTCTAAAAAAATAAAAGGAGGGGGGAGAGGGAGAGGGAGAGAGAAAGAGAGAGAGAGAGAGAGTAGAGGGAGAGAGGGAGAGAGAAGCTTGGATCATCTGTTTATGCCAGGAAGCAGGTAGGTGCTCTCAAAAGATTATAGGGACGCAGTTTATAGATTTATAGGAGCTGGTATTTGAACTGAGAATCCAAGTAGGTAAAGGATGTATCATGATGATATTAATATCAAGCAAATGTGTTCCATGTGGAAGGAGTAACCCGTGCAAAGGCCCTGTGGTCGTCTTTGAGGACCAGCAGGGAGACCTTTAGGGCTTGAGTAAAGGGACTGCACTCAGAGGGCAATCACTGCCATGGTAAAGACCCGGTGCAGCCCTCAAAAGCCATTCTGAAGACTTGCACTTTGCCTCTAAGCATGTGGGAGCCATGGGAGGAGTTTGAGCAGAGGAGGGACAGGATCTGATTTAATCTGTAAAGGACGGTTCCAGCTGCTGTGCTCAAAATATATTGTAAAGAGGGGTGGGGGAAAGAGCCAGGCGTGGTGGCACCTGTGGTCCCAGCTACTCAGGAGGCTGAGGCAGGAGGATCGCTTGAGCCCAGGAGTTGGAGGCTGCAGTGAGCTGTGATGACGCCACTGCACTCCAGCCTGGGCGACAGAGTGAGACCCTGTCTTAAAAACAAAACAACTAAAAAGGAAGAAAAAAAACCCTCATTCCCTCTTCACCCCATTGTCTTTTGTTTGCCCCGGGAGAGCCGTCAGCCCTCATCACCCCCCCTCCTCCTCTCCCCTTCTCATCCAGGCTTCGGCCCTTGGGGCCCCAGAACCTGCCCTTGCCCAGTGTCCAAACCCAACAGTCACGTCTCCGTCCCTGCCTTCCTTGGCAGCGTCTGACCCGGCAGGTCCCCTTCGCCTGGGAACACCGAGGCCCCGGACCCCACACTCTTCCCGGCTCCCCTCCCCATCTCTGGGATGCCCCTGGGTCTCCCCTGTCTCTGTCCTGGGCCCTCCTCCCTCCTCCACCCCCACCCCTCCCAAGGTTTCATCTCTACACCTGGGCCCTGGGCTGGTTCCTTAGATCTCTCCTGTTACCCCTGGAGGTGCCTCTGCCCCAGGCTTCCTGCCTTAAGAAATAAAAACATTCATTCCAGGTGCTCAGCCTAAAAACACCGCTGTCATTAGTTTAATCTATCCCAAATCTGCCCACTTCCCATCCACCTGGAACACGGTAGTCCCCTCTGGCTTGGTTCTTGGTTCCCGCCTGTGCCTGCCACAGTCTGTCCTCCCCGCAGCAGCCACCAGAGGGCGCCCGTGAGCACCTGAGTCAGGGCCCGGCCCTCCTCTGCCCACAGCCCTCCATGGCTCCCACCTCCCTCAGGGTCAAAGCCCAAGTCCTCCCTGCAGCCCACCAGGCCCTGCATGACCTGCCCTGTCCCCTCCTCACCCTCCCCTCCTCCCTCTCTCCCCCTCCTCACTCTGCTCCAGCCACACGGACCTCCTCACTGTGCCTCCCACACGCCAGGCGTTGTCCTGTCTGTCCCAGGGCCTTTGCACAGGCTGTGCCCTCTACCTAGAATGCTCTTCCTGTCGGGACTCCCATGGCTGGTTCCCTTCTTCCTCCAGGTCTCTGCTCAAACGTCACCTCCTCGGAGAGGCCTTGGCCACCCTGTTTTAGGCTGCGACGCTCCTCCTAGCTGCGCTCACCTCCTCCACCAGGTCCCCCGCCGCATCTACGCCACTCCTCCCTTACGACCTAATGTGCCATTTACTCCAAGGCCGCGTGTGTGTCTTAGCATCCGTCTCCCTGCCTGGGCTGTCGGTTTGGGTCTTTCTTATTCACGGCCGAGTCCCAGCACCCAGGAGAGGGCCCGGCCTGGCGGGTGCGCTACACGTCCCAGGTGAATGGATGAAGAGAGAGAAGGGACTGTGAGACAGACCAGGGGACAGTGTGTTCTGGGTGCGGACTGTCGGGCAGAGTGGTGGCTGCCGCCAGGAGAGGGAGGGGACTGGTGGGCGGAAGTGATTTGACATTTGCGACGTGATTAACCCAGGCAGATGGTGGCCCAGGGAGGAAGCCGCCCAATCCTCTTAGCTCAGAATCCCTTAATACTTCCGCTGCGTGGGTCACCTCTGGGCCACCCCAGCCCCTCCAGGCGGCCACCATGCCGGGGCTGGCGGACCAGGAGGCGGCGGAGGGCTGGAGCCAGGCCCCGCCACTGTACGAGGAGTACCGGCCGCCCCCCCTGGACGCCATCCGCCTGCCCCGGTACGTGCTGTACCTGCTGCTGGCCGCGCTCGTGGTGGTGGCCGTGGCCTACGCCATCGTCGGGCACCTCATCAAAGACCTGGCGCACGACCTGGCCGGTGAGCCCGGCCGCCCGGGGGTGGGGCCGCGGGGGACACTCCTGGCTGGGCAGAGGAGGGCAGGGCGGGGACAGGACACGTCGAGGGGGCGGCCCCTCACCCGGCCCCTGCTGCAGACTGGGCGTTCGGCCCGAAGCCGGACCAGGAGGACGCCCCCCGGGAGCTGCGCCCCAGCCTGGCGGGCGAGGACCTGGAGGAGCTGGACCTGCAGCTGGCGCTGGCCTGGCGGGGCGAGGAGGACGCCACCGGGGAAGCCCCGGCTGCCCGGGACCCCCGCCGCCCCTCCATCGCCTTCAGGGAGCCCCCGACCCGAAGCTCCTTCTGGAGGCTGAACTGAGCCGGGCCCTGGATCCGGGTCGCTGCCCTTTGGTGGCGGCGTGGACGGAACTCGCGCACCCGGGAGCCCTTCCTAGCACCACCGGCCGTGCGCTGGGGACAACGTTCTCTTTCCTGGCAGGCAGGTGC